TGTAATCTGCAATAAAATGAAAGGTTTAGGACCAGCGCTACAATTTTTTCGAGTTAAAATTACTGTTGAAATGTTGACTGACAGTTTTATGGACTTAATGAAAGGCTTGGGACTGACGCTGCAACTACATATAAAGGTTTGGGACTTCGGCTGTAAAAATAAAAGGTTTGGGTGTAATCTGCAATAAAATGAAATGTTTGGGACCACGGCCGCAATTTTCCCTATATAGTGATAAGTAAAATCCACCTTTTGGAAGCTATTTCAACTTAATGATGAAAGTTCAAACGCAGTTGTGGAAAGGTAAGAGTGTTTGAGAAGATTATACCTCCTTAGTATGCACTCGGTGGGCTTTCCAATCAAGAATTCCCCCAAACTTCGAAACAGCAGCCTTAACAGATTCAAAAGGTGCAGCTGTATCGATTTGGACAAAATTCAGCTCAATATTTCCCGGCTGTTTATCGCATTCCGTGGCTTTTGTTGTCATGTCAGAATTAACAGAAACTTCAGTAATAAGAGTAGCAACCGTATCATTCCTTGTTTGAGCTGAATTTTTATTATCTTCTTCTGACGATGGCTGCAATACAATTTTGGCTTCTAAATTTTCTTCTTTCTGAGGCTTAATTGTGTCCTGATCCATAGCTACTGCAATTGAGGCCTCATGCTCAACTCGAGGCCCCTTAGAAGCATCATTTTCTTCAACATTATGACTATCAAGAGCACTACCTAAAGATTTTGGTGAAGCATCATGGGCATTTGTTTCCAATGTAAATGAATTCGATTCCAAAAGAATTATTGAATTCTTAACTTCCTGATACACCAGTTGTACTTCATTCTCTGATTTTACGAGTGTGGCTTCTTGTGAAACTACTACAGGTACGCCAAAGTTATGTTCTGAACATATTCCGTCAGCAGGAACATTAGAAGTGGCAAACGGATTTTCTGACAGAAGTTTTGGACTTTCGTCATCAAAAGCATCATCTAAAGGATCTGGTTTAAAAACATCGATCAGTGGCTCCCGAGTGTCAGATTCCACTTCTCCATTACCATCTTGGTTTGTCAGAGAAGCATTAGATGATTGATCCTTGTCTGGAGAGGATAATATTGGTCCAAGAGAAGATTCAGGAGGACCATGTTCTTTGAAATCTTTAGCATCCTCCATTCTCGTAAAATTCCAAGGAATGCCGAGTTGGTACCTGGGATTCAAGAAACCAAACCAGTAAATGCAAGATAAAAAGGATGAATCCAAATTAGAAGTCACTAATACATTTAACGAACGGCTATTATGTTTCTGTGGTCAGGGATCTGTTCCTTGAACAAGTAGAAATTTAGAGAATGAAGTTCCAAAGTCTTAAACTCCCACCCCCACCTCAGGCCTGGAATTATACAAACTATAAATAAACATGAATAGATGAATGAAGTAAAATATCAATATAAAAAAATTTTATCGGTATATATTGATCAAAAATCATGTACAAGTACACCGTGCATACTCGGGCATACAAAGATCATGTAAGCATACAAGTACACCGGGCATACGCAGACAAACAAACTAAAAGGATTTACTAACGATCTAATGCCAGAGACTCGAAATAAATCAAAATATGTAGATACAAAGAAAACATAACTTTGTATACGTGTGTTTTGATCCGTCTAACAACGCTATCAATTTGAGGTCTTAGATCCTCAAAAAATTTCCTGTCAGTCCTGTGTTAAATCTCCAAAGGTAAAAACTAGGACCCCTTTTACATTTCGTTGCAACTACTGGAATTTATTGGGATTCTCTATGATTTTTTTCATAATAATAAATTGTTCATCAAATTAAAATTTACATGCATCAGCTTCTCAAAGTTTCATCTCCTTCAACGCAGACATACATGAATATATACAAGCGTGACATTACAGATTATTAACGTATACATGAATATATACAAACACACACATTCCAGATTACTAACCTTTTTACCTAAATTCTCAAAAATCTTTTTAGTTTCTACTGGCAAAGGAATTTAATTATCTGCATGTGAAAATCTCTTCAACAAGTGAAATAAGAATTGAAGAAAAAAATGAAGATAAGCATTTAATATATGAATGCTGAAAAGCTTAATCATGATTAATCAAGGATTAACACAGGGATGATTTTAATCATAACAATTACAAACAATAATCAAAATTTTCCAATGAAAAGAGGAAGAATCAAAGGAAGAGAACAAGAGAAGCGCACCGAAAATGAGCAGAAGCGAAAGAGAGAAAAGTCAAATGAGAAGCTAAAAAATTGTTTATCGGATAATTAGCCAAAAAGAATTATTAGTGACTGCTAATCCTTAACATCCACGAAATCCATTCTCAGCCCAAAAATATTAATATTTGGAAGGAACAATCAAGAAATATGAAAATGGAATGAAGGTAATTTGGCTAATACACGTGTGGGGACCCTACTTTTGCTCACGGTCAGATATATAAAAATAGTGGTGTGGAATGTGGATGTATATTATTTAAATAAATTAATTTAATAAGAATAATATTGAAAGGATGTTCGCTGTTTATATCCACTTATATATTCACACTATTTTTTTATTCCTATTAAAATTTAAAATTTTAAAAAAATTATTATTTTCATCGACTTCAAATTTCAATATTGTCCTTATTAAATTCATTCATTTAAATACTATCTACACAAATTTTGTATATTCATCTCACCCTAAACACATCCCTAATACGATTTTAAACTTTTAATCATGATTATGTACTACATTAATCCCCTCCATTTGAATAAAATTCGTCATCGAGTTTTGTTGAAGAAAAGAATCTTTCATAACTTGTGTATTTTCGAACTTGGTTGGGACTCGAGAAAATTCTCTAGCCACATGTTGCCATATTTTAATTTTGTTGAAGCAACTAACATTCATAACAGTTAAAGTATGCAAATTTTTGTTAGCTTGCTTCTCCATGGGTTGGCGATTCCTTTCAAGACTCAACGCAGTCATCATCTGCGTGATGTTATGAAGGGTTTCACCAATTCCCTCAATTCGTTGTTCGAGTTTGTCGAGCCTCCGTTCGTCATCGAAGATTTGATTGCCACCGGACCATAGTCAGCCATCATATTGGGGCAATTTTCTTGCTCTGATACCAATTTTGGTGCGAAAGCGTTATAAAATTCTTATAATAAAAATTAAAAATCATGATTATACTGGAATAATATTGCTTTGTATTGATATATGATTTGTTGTCTTGAAAAGTGTACAATACTCATATATTTACAGGCAAAATTATTTCTAATCATATTAATAAAAGGAACCAAAGTAAATAAACTAGTAAAATCATAATCTAATTAAAAATCATATTCTATTCAATAAATAAAAAAAATCATATTCTAAACAAAAAATAAGAATAAAAAGATAAAATTTATTAGAACTAGAAAAAATAAATCACAATTGTACTAGGAAACTATTAATCATGATTATGTATTTTTCTTGCTCTGATACCAATTTTGATGCGAAAGCGTTATAAAAGTCTTATAATAAAAATTAAAAATCATAATTATACTGGAATAATATTGCTTTGTATTGATATATGATTTGTTGTCTTGAAAAGTGTACAATACTCATATATTTACAGGCAAAATTATTTCTAATCCTATTAATAAAAAGAACCAAAGTAAATAAACTAGTAAAATCATAATCTAATTAAAAATCATATTCTATTCAATAAATTAAAAAAAATCATATTCTAAACAAAAAATAAGAATAAAAAGATAAAATTTATTAGAACTAGAAAAGATAAATCATAATTGTACTAGGAAACTATTAATCATGATTATGTACTACATCACATATTCTTCCAAACTTTAATGTAAAGTAATTGAGAAAACAATACTTATGTGTAGAGTTAAAAGTCATTAATGATGGGGGCCAAACTTCCATCTTTTGACAAGATTTTGTTATTTCAAAAAGAAAAAATAAAAAGTGATGAAATTTGTTTTCGTGTATTTCCTCTAATAGTAATATTAAATTAATCAAATTCACGTTCAATTTTTTCTTCATATATTGTTATGTCTTCATGTATTCCTTCTAATGGTAATCCTTCCATTGTTATTTTAATTTCAGTTGAAGATGATATTTTATTATTACTAGGGTTGAAGATGATATTTTATGATTATTAGAATTTTAGTTAAACATAAATTCTACAAGACTATAAAAAAATTCAAAAGAATTTAATGAAAATAAATATTAGTAGATGAATTTAGAAATATTTATTTTTATTTAATTTTATGTATGTCTATTTAAGTAAATTAATATGAGATTAAAAATAAAATATAAATATATTTTGAAAAATGGGTTNCTGGTACTGGGATCTCTGAAAGATTTCTTCACGGTCTGTGAAGAAATACTCATGGACCTAGACGTGAGGTATGTGAGGATTTCTTGCCGGGGTGGTCTATGAAAAAATCCTCAGATACCCCAATAATTCACAGACCCTGCATAAGAAGAAGAAATCCTCTCGGCCCCAAATTTGAAATTCAAATGGTTCAACTTTGAAATGAAGAATATTTTTGTATTTTTACATAAAAGAAGCCTTTATCACTTATATTTCATAAATTAGGCTTTTTCCCAAATGATATTTTTGACTAGGCTATAGTGAAAATTCTCCCTACTTTTGATACATTTTCAATCAAATTCCTCAATTATTATCATCTCTTGTACACCCTCACATAAGCACAGAGATGGAGCCTTCTTTATCGTCAAACCCCCCTCCTAGCCTTGTCCATCTTCATTCGCGGACTCGGCACCCAATTCACGAGTCGGCTCGATGAAACCAGGCGAGGATTTGTCCCTTCTGCCAGCTTCCTCGCCCTACCACAACGGTAAATAAGGTATCCTTGCCTTTTGTCCCCGTGTCACAGCATCAGGGCAAGTCAGAAAATTCCCTTATCAATAGGGGCGGATGTAGAAGGGCCTAAACTCTCTCTTTCTCTAATAATAAGGTCATTTCAAAGTGTTTCTAGGCAGTGATGTTCCTTTTAAAAGGGCAGAATGCATGACGTTTGGGAAACATGGACAACCCTTCATGTACGAAATAGCAATTAATTCAGTGCATCGTTTCTAATTGAAACAACAAGTGGC